CCCATATTCCGGAGCGATAAGAAGTGCGTCCGACTCTCAGGTGTTCGCCACTGCGTGAATACTTGCGAGATAAAGTCTAAACGTCCTTCCATACCCTCTATAACTCCATCCTTGTCTCTCCCATTTAAGCGCATTTCCAAGGGCTTGGACGTAACATTATAGTTTTATCGCATCTCTCAGTCTCTCTATTTGTCATTCGACTGCAGTTAGAAAAATTTATAGGAATGCGATTAACTCAACTGTCTATAAATTTAAGTCTTATTAGCTCAAATGAAAGAGCGTTTCATTATCATATAAAACGCTGTGATTTTGTGTGATATTATATGTAATAATTTTCTATGTGATATAGTCGAGTATGTAATAAATATAAATACATTGTGATGAAAAATTAATTTTATTTATTATTTTTCATTGATATTTTACACATTGAACTTGTTATTATTAAATGAGTGCATATATTTTGCAGATTAATCCGTTTATTTATTTATATTCAATACACATCTTTACATCAATTTGTGTACAACGGTTTTAAAGTTCTCTGAGTGCATTTCAAACAAATTTACTATTAATTAATATACTATATAGAATATACAATTTGAAATATTTAAAAAATATATTACAAAAAAATTTACTTTAAAATTTAAACTTATTTTGCAAAATTAATTCCATAACGTTTCTAACATTCTTTAATAATTTATTTTCCTTTCTCAGTTTATTCACAATTTTTTTAGGACTTGTACAGTAAACATCTGAAGGCAAGCAGATGTTTTCAGTATTTGACATAATGCAATTTTCCTTTATGGAATATCTTTCTTTAATTTCATTAATTGATAATGGAAGTGTAGTAAATGGACAATTGAATAGATGATTTATGGCATGCAATTGCTTCTTAGATAACTTCGCAACATTTTTAATGATACGATTGGTTACTGGACAAGCTACGTTTTTAATTGAAATGCAACAACGCTCACATGTATCAACTGCTTGACAAATATGATTATCAGATATTCTTCTTATTTTAACATTACACACATGAACTTCGTCTTTCTTCCGCTTTCTTGCTTGTGACTTACGAAAATTCTCAGAGAGACAATGGCAAAAATGTGATGGAATCGCACCTTTTTTTATTTCTTTCCGGCAACCTACCACCAATACATCTGATGGCTCAAAGTGAACCTGAAATGAGGAAAGCATTAAATGGAGAAGCACTTTTTAAACTATTTTTATTCGGATCCTGCATAACATTCTTACGATGAATACTCACTTCACACAATCTCAAATTATTCAAGGATCTTGATGTCTCTCCAAAAACAGCGTCTACCCATGCTTTCTTATATTGATTTTCCTTGGGAAATCTAATTAATGCATATCCATCACTGGATTTATTAAAACATCTCGCTGCACAGCATATATTTGGCATCTTCAAAATCAATATAAAAATCCAATCTAAGACAAGAGAATCACATTATTAATGAAACAGGTATCTTTAACTTACGTACTACTTATTTTTAACTACGAAGCGTTTATTAATTCAAAGCTTATTTGTGACAATATATACATTACTTTTTCTCACAATTTTGCATAAATGTGATAAATTTACTTACCAAAAATAGTCAGAACCACACGCAACACAAGCTGCTTCAATTCACATGTGTATTCTAGCAGATTATGATACACATGTTCAAAAAGGGGAAACACGTCATCCATACCCCAGCCAATCAGAATCACCCATAGTCACGTGATGAATTGGCGAGTTCTCTTTTAAGGGCCTCTAGGACTGCGTTCGAAAACGTCCCCTGCCGGCGCGAGTGAGGTGACTTAGGGATGCGTTGGTGGGGGTAATCGGGAACTTAAGGAACTGTTGGTTTTTGAACGAACCAAAATATCAAAGGTACAAATTCAAAATGGATAGTGCTGAATTACGTCGAAAACGTTTAATTTCTGTAGCTGTAAATACTAGTGACGAATTCTTAAAATCTAATTTAAATATAATGAATGATAGCGAGACAGACGAGGAAATGGATATTATTTTTCGGACAAAATATCAGCATAGATTGCGTGGGGCACGAAAGAAGCTATTGCGTATCATAGATTACGTAGACAGAACCATTCCAGGTCTAATAGCAAAGCAATTTCGTGAACATTTTCGCATGATTCCTGACACGTATGAGATTTTAGAAGCAAAATTAAGTTTGTTACTGATCAAGGAAAATTATTCGGGCAGACCTACCATTCCTATTCGCAAACAGTTGCTATCTACGTTGTGGCTTCTCGCTACTCCTGATTCTTACAGGTAAAAAATACTCCATAAAAATAGGATGTTTTATTTTTTTAGGTTATTATCAGTAATGTTGATAGTGATATATGTATATTGCAGATCGATGCAGGCGAACGATTCGATTTGGGAAAATCATCTGCAAGTGATTCCTTTATAAGAGTTGTTAAAGCTCTTAATGA